TTCTGATTCAGAGCAATTCAAGGCAATTCAAAGCTACAAACCAGGTGGATCTGCACAAGATTGGAGCAAGAGGAGCACCATAACTGCCTCAATTTGAAGCTACAAACCAGGTTTGAACAATTCACGATTGCACTAATTTTAGCATGATCTAAGTAGAATTGACATGTGGTTAGGCTTTAGGAAGGTTATTAGATGGATTTTGGATCAATATTTGAAGGATTAGAGACAAATTAAGATGCAACTGAATTTCTGTTTGGATGCGAATTGGCTTGTTCTTGAGGTTTAAACATGATCTAAATAGTTTAGGATGATCTGTGAAGCATGAGGAATAGATCTGTGGTTTCAATTGAAAGATTGGTGAGATTTCAGAACTATGTGCATTTTAGGATCTCCATCGTGTTTTGAATTCTGTTGAGAATTGGAAGAAATGGATAGCATATTTGAGATCCGCATGAAATTTGGAGTGAGATGATGTAAGGTTTGTTGAGGTTCCGTGATCTATACATGTTGTCTCGCCGGAGAAGACGACCGGTGTCTTTCTCCGGCCACCGCTACAAGTCTCCCTCCAACTGGAGATTCAAACGAGGAAGACGATCTCTTCACCCTTGGATCTGGTTAGAACGAAGACCTTGTATTCTCATCTAACTGCCATGACTTTTTCTCAGATTTGACTTGGACCAAACCAAATGATGCGTTTCATTTTTGAGGTGGCAGCACCAGACCCCTTAGATTATGAGACTTAGTCCAATCATCCAACGCCTCTGTTTTAATCTTGCATTTTATTTGTTTTTAATTCATTTTCTTTTATTTTAATTGCTTTAATCTTGCAAAATTCATATTAATTCCAATATTGGTCAGAAAAATACCATAAAAATATGAGCATGATCCTGATTTTATTTCTGATTTTATGATGCTTTTACATTTTATTTTCATGCAATTTTCCATTTAATTTGTTTTTTTGCATTTTTCTTCATTTCTTTAATTTGGCTTATTTCTTCTTTGTTTTGCTGAATTTTGATTAGCTGTTTGGTATAGATTTTGGATGAGATTTTTGGATAGCTGGTAGACTAGAGATGCATGATCCCTTAGAAATTATTTCAGATTTTTTAGACAACATTAGGTTCTGTTTTGGATTAGGATCATTAGACATTCCATTTTAGGGTTTTCATTTGATACCTTGTGATCTAGGATTTTTTAGGTGACCTTCCCATTTGATTTGATCCCTGACCTTTCTACTATAGGTCCTTAACCTTCTTAGGTTCCCCTAGAAAATATTATAGGCTTTTAGAAGTAGTTTTGGTATTTTAATTTGATTTAATACTTAGGCTAGTTTTAAGATGCTTTCAACATGACACTTGCTTTAGAATGACCTCAATGGTGGCCTTTAGTTCACAATAGGTTTTATAATCTTTTTTGATGGTGCTTTAGACATGTGTAGGCTTCTGTTTGTTTGATGGTGATGCTTGATTTGGTTTTTAGACCTTCTTTTAGTAGCTTTCTTTGAGCTTGTTCAATTAGGGTTTAGGAAGAGCTTAGTTTGATTTCTCTTTCTCCAAATAAACATGGATTGCTTTGATTGCTCTCCATCCCCATCCTATGATTCAAGGTCCCTATGTGGAAGCCTCATCTTTCCTTTTGAAGGATGTGTGGCATTTCACAAGAGGTAGAGCCTTTGAGGATGCCTATCTCAGATGACTGGTTGAGTGCCAGGTTGGATTCCTTTGGTTCCTATCCTGCTTCCCATCATCAATCAATAATCTTGATGTTAATTCTCTTCCCTTTTGTTGGAGCTTGTTGAAGCATGAAGATGAAGACTTCTCTTGAGGATGGCTTGGACTTGAAGTTGTTTGCAGACTGTTTGTTTGTTTTGCTGTTTATCTGCTTTGTTGTTGAGCTGCTTGTCTGCTATTTTATTTGTAGTATTTTCTGATTGCTTGACTGTTGCTTGTGTGACTGTTTGGTGTAATGCATTAGACTAGGTTATCATATAGATGTTTCTATTCCTAGGAGCATCCTAAAGGTTGAGACTAGCTCCCTTTGCTTGTCTGCATTAGAGGTTGAGTCTGTCTCCCTCTGCTTGACTGTTATTGGTTGGCTTTACTTGCTGGGTTAAGGTCGAGTCTGTCTCCCTTGCCTGTGCTTTCTGTGTTGCCTTTGGGCTTGCTTGCTCTAGAATTTGAGTTTGGCTCCTTCTGCTTGTTTGTTGCATTGCATTCATTTTATTTACAATTGCTTCTTTACTGTTTATTTTCTTCTGCTGTTGCTTTCCTTTGCCATGTTCCCCTAGGAACTCTGACTTCTCTTGTTCAAGAGAAGTTATGACAGACATTAGGGTTCTAACCATGCATGATAACATTAGGTAGTTCCCTCCTAACCTCAACCATAGGTTCCATTTTGCATGACAACTTTAGGATTGGATCAGTTCCCCTTTACTGCGTCTTTTCTCTTCTCATCTTCAAACAAAATCAAAATACAATAATAAGGTTAATTGATGTCGTACGCTACGAGCCTTAAGATACTTAAGAAAGGCTTGTTGGAGAGCTTATTTCCAATAGCTTGGATTTTTAGTATGGTACCCTTTGGGTGACTTGCGACGCATTCACTCTTAGGTCATAGTCTTTAGTGCGATATCAGTTGCAAACATCTATAAAAGATACTTCTCTAAAAAACTGAAAACAAAGATCAAATCTCTTTTTGACCTCTTGGACCTTTAATTCTTGTAAACCTTTTTTAGAAGGAGAGTTTTGTTAACTCCCGGTTTTACCGCAAACGGTAAACGCCTAAGTCTCCGTTGAGCGAGCTGCATATACCAACTGCTGGAACCGTCTGTTAACCCTACTCGGATAAAAAAGACAAACATGTGTCTCTCGTTTCCCGAACTACATTTGCTCTGATCTTTCGCGTTGTGTGAAAGTACGTAGGCAGGAGATGCGATATCTCAGCGAGTAACCTTCCCTCATAACCCGTAGTTAGGCGAACTACGTTGACTCTGATTTCTCGTTCCAGACGGGAATACGTAGGCATAAAGTACGACGCTTTGCCGAGTCATTTTCTTCTCTTTTCAGACCAGACCTTTAGCGTAGCTAGATTAATAAACCCGTCAGATAAACACAACAAACATGGATCCCATCGAGTACGATGGACGTGAGGGGTGCTAATACCTTCCCCTTGCGTAACCGACTCCCGAATCCAGACATTGGTTGCGATGACCTTGTCTTATACCTTTTCGTCAGGTTTTTCCGATCGTTTCCTTTCCCTTTCTGTGGGATAAATAACGAAAGGTGGCGACTCTTTTGTTTTGCCGATACCTTATTTTCGCGGTAGCGACACACAACAGTAGTATAATATGATAATAAAATGCAAATGCAATAATATACAACAGGTAATATACATAAAGCAAAAACTGCAGAAAAGTAAACACCCAAAGACGCAACAGACAAGCGCTAGGAGTGACTCCCATAGGGAACCAGAGTCCCCAGCAGAGTCACCATTTGTCGCAACTGCGAAAAATACCCGGCAGAAAAAAGAAGAGTCGCCACCTTTCGTTATTTATCCCAAAGAGAGGGAAAGGAAACGATCGGAAAAACCTAACGAAAAAGGAAAAGACAAGGTCATCGCAACCAAGTCTTGGGTTCGGGAGTCGGTTACGCAAGGGGAAGGTATTAGCATCCCTCACGTCCGTCGTACTCGATGAGATCCACGCTTGTTGTCTATCTAAGGTTGTGTTTAACTATCTATGCTAAAGGCTCACATGACTGAAAGAAAAGAAAAAAGACTCGGTAGAGCATCGCTGCTCTGTGCCTACATATTCCCTCGTGCAATGGGAAAGTCAGAGTCTATGTAGTTCGGCTAACTACGGGTGAAAGGGGGAAAGGTTGCTCGCCAAGACATCGCGTCTTGTGCCTACGTACTTTCATCTGGTATGAAAGATCAAAGCAAACGTAGTTTGGGCCACACGAAACCATAGGTTGATTAAGTGTTTTAACCGAGTGGGGTTAAACCTCCGTTCTAGCAGTTAGGGACAAATCCTGTTTGCGGTAGAAGCGAAGCTTAACAACACTCTTTTCTCAAAAAAAGAAGTTTCTAATTAATCCCGAAGGAAAAAGGTTTGAAATTTGTTTTGTGTTTTTTAGTGAAGTAACTTAATTCGGTTTGTGGTTCACGTTGCACTAAAGACTATGACATGGAGGCGAATGCGTCGTTGTCATACCCCAAATTTGTCCTACCTTTTTAAAAAATTCTCATTTGCCCGACTTTGTTTTAATTTACCTCGCTTATACAGCGTAGCGTATTTTTCAGCAAAAACAGGCATTTTCGCTTTTTTAGCCCAATAAGGGTATGCCACGTGGCATTTGTTTTTTTATATATATACCTATTTTTTTTATATAATCTCATTTTTTCTCGTGATAGGTTAATATAATGTCTTTTTATTATTTTAATTAGTTTTGAATTAGAAATTAGGATTTAAATTTGTTTTTTTTAATTAGATAGATTTAATTTAGAACTTAATTATAATTTAGAAATTTTAATTTTAAAAAATATAGATTAAAAAATAGAGTTAGAATTTAATTAGGTTTTATTTTAAATTATTAGATTAGATTTTAATTAATTAGCTTAGACTTAAAATTATAATTAATAGTTAGAATTAATTAAATAGGAAATAGGTTTTTAATTTAGTTTATTATTCAGAAAAATAAATTAAAAGAAAATATTAAAAAAAAAAAAGAGGAAAAAATTTGAATGAGAAGACACGGATGTTGGATATAAAAGGTAGCATACCCTAAAGATTTGGGGACACTGTTCACAAAACCCTAAAAAATAACGGCCGCCCCTAATTTTGAAGGGCGTCCCTAGAGAAAACCATCCCCAATTCCAACAGAAAAAAACCCTAAAATCACTGTTCATCTCTTTCCCCCTCTCCTAAATTCGCCACCTTTCTCTTCACTTTCATCCAAAACCCGCAAAACAGACGCTAGGGTTCAGTTACAGTTCTGACGATAATGGAAGTATCCAACTCCCGTATTCAAAGCTCCAAACGTAAGTTTGACGACACCGTTTCATCATCATCCAACGGCGTCGATCTATCCCTTCTTGAAGCAATTAAGAAATCACAAACCACCATAGAAGCAGTAGACAGCCGAACCCTAAAGAAGCTCGTTCTCTCCTTCGAACGCCGGTTGAAGGAAAACATTGAAGCACGACTCAAGTACCCTAACCAACCCGATCGATTCGCGGATTCGGAACTGGAGCTCCACGAAGAGCTTCACAAGCTCAAAGTCCTCGCCGGAGCACCGGAGCTTTACCCTGACCTAGTTAGTCTCAATGTTGTTCCGTCAATTGTTGATTTGCTTAACCACGATAACACCGATATTGCTATTGATGTTGTTCAGCTTCTTCAAGACCTAACGGATGAGGATGCCCTTGACGAAAACGATGAGTCTGCTAGGGTTCTTGTTGATGCTATTATTGATAATAGTGCGTTGGAGCTTTTGGTGCAGAATCTTCACTGTTTGTCTGAGTCTGATCCTGATGAGAATGCGGCTATTTATAATACGCTTGCTACGATTGAGAATTTGATTGAGGGGAAACCTACTGTGGCGGAGTTGGTATGCGAGAAGACGAAGTTGTTGAAGTGGTTGTCGGGGAAGATTAAGGTGAGGGAGTTTGATGGGAATAAACAGTATGCGTCAGAGATTTTGGCGATTTTACTACAGAGTAGTTATGTGAATCAGAAGAAATTGGGGAAGATGAATGGTGTGGATGTGGTGCTTCAGGCTGTGGCGATGTATAAGTCGAAGGATCCTAAGAGTTTTGATGAGGAGGAAATGGTGGAGAATTTGTTTGATTGTTTGTGTTGTTTGTTGATGCCTTTGGGAGAATAAAGAAAGGTTTGTGAAAGCCGAATGGGTTGAGTTGATGATAATTATTATGAAACATAAGAAATTGGCTTATGCTTCTGCTATAAGGGCTATTGATTTTGCAATGACTAATTATCCTCCTGCCTGTGAACGTTTTGTTGATGTTTTGGGATTGAAGACAGCTTTTGCAGCTTTTATGGGTAAGATTCCCATTAATAAGAAGAACAAGAAAGGACGGTACCAGGAGGAGTTAGAAGAGCGCATTGTGTCTCTGGTTGCTTCATTATTTGGTGGTATCTTAAGGGGATCTAGGAGAGAAAGATTATTAAGTAAGTTTGTTGAAAACGAATGCGAGAAGATAGATAGGCTAATGGAACTGTACATCAGATATTCAGATAGAGTCAAAGCTGAAACTGAACGGTTGGATCAAATTGAGTTTGATGACTTGGAGATGACATGAAAGCAAGAATGGCAACTGTAACAGTATTCACTATTGCAAATAGGTATGGTGATTACATACGCACAGGTTGGAGAAATATTCTGGATTGTATCTTAAGATTGCACAAGCTAGGTCTTCTTCCTGCCCGTGTTGCCAGTGATGTTGCCGATGAGTCAGAGCTTTCTGCTTAAACTGTGCATGGCAAGCCTATTGTGAATTTAGTCAACTCTTATCTCTTGACACTGAGGAGCCAAGATCACAACCTACTGAACAACAACTTGCTGCTCATCAGCGCACTCTTCAAACAATACAGAAGTGTCACATTGACAGCATATTTACTGAGAGTAAATTTCTGCAAGCTAAATCTCTCGAACAGCTTGCAAAAGCGCTCATTTGGGCCGCAGGTCGACCTCAAAAAGTGAACAGCACACCAGAGGATGAAGATACAACAGTTTTCTGCCTGGAGTTGCTGATTGCAATCACTTTGAACAACAGGGATAGAATAGGTATTCTTTGGCCCGGTGTATATGACCACATATCCAGTATTGTTCAGTCAACTGTAATGCCATGTGCCTTAGTAGAAAAGGTTGTGTTTGGACTGCTTAGGATTTTCCAGCGGTTGCTCCCATACAAGGAAAACATTGCCGATGAACTTTTGAGATCGTTACAACTTGTCTTAAAGCTTGATGCCCGGGTTGCTGATGCTTACTGCGAACAGATTACTCAGGAAGTCAGCCGCCTTGTGAAGGCAAATGCTTCTCACATAAGATCCCAGTTAGGATGGCGTACAATTACATCACTACTTTCCATCACTGCTAGGCATATTGAAGCATCTGAGGCTGGGTTTGATACACTTCTTTTCATTATGTCAGATGGTGCCCACTTGCTTCCAGCTAATTATGTTCTCTGTGTAGATACTGCAAGGCAGTTTGCTGAGTCTCGTGTTGGCCAAGCTGAGCGATCTGTGCGGGCACTAGATCTAATGACAGGATCTGTTAATTGCTTGTCCCGGTGGACTAGCGAGGCTAAGGAGACAATGGAGGAGGAGCAAATGTCTAAGTTGTCAAAGGATATTGCAGACATGTGGTTGATACTTGGACAGGGTCTAAGGAAAGTGTGTTTAGACCAGAGAGAAGAGGTTAGAAATCATGCTTTGTTATCTTTGCAGAAGTGCTTGACAGGAGCAGATGACATTTATCTCCCATATGGTAAGTGGCTAGACTGTTTCGATCTTGTGATCTTTGTTGCACCCTAAAATTTGACCAACCGATTCTCCTATCTGACTCGTGGTTTAAACTCATATTCGCAAATCAGACGTATGATATTTGTGCACAGGCAGAGGACCTCAGGGTTACAGCTTGATTTTTGTCTATCAGATATGGCAGATCCAGTCCAGATCAGCAGGGTTTTATTCTCGGGAAATTGTGCGCTCCTCGGTGATTTTTAGCTTGCATGGTGATTTTGGGATATTCTGATGCCCGGGGTTCTCGGTTCGATTCGATCTGGTCTCGTGCGCTCTTTTATGGTGGTCATTTGCATTTGTCTGCATTTTTAGGGTTTTAATAAACTTTTTGTGGATTTTAAATAGGCTCTATAGATTTTTCTGGATTTTAAATAGATTTTTAGATATTTTTAATAGTTTAAATCTCTTTTTAGAATTTTATATAGATTTTAAAATAGGTTTAATAGTTTTTTAATCATTTTTAGAATATAAAAGAATTTAAATAGTTTTAATTGTTTTTTAGAATAATAAAGAAAAAGGGGAATATAGATTTTTCTTTTATGTTAATAGAAATTTTTAATAGTTTTTTTAATAGAAAAAATAGAGCTTTAATCTTTTAATAGATTTTTCTTATTAGTTTTAAATAGATTTACTAGTTTTAAATAATAGTATGAATTTTAATAGAGATTATTAGGATTTTATTAGTTGTAGTTTAATAGAGGTTTAAATAGGGTTAATTAGAGTTTTAATCATTTTTAGAGTTGATTAGGGTAATTAGTTTAATTAGGTGTTAATTCTGTTTTTAGGTTTAATCAGATTAATTAGGATTAGTCTTAATTAGGATAATTAGATTTAATATTTGTATTAATAAGTTTTTTAGTTTTTTAGGGTTTTTTGTCCAGATTTTCGTATGGGCCAGAAAGCAGTTTTTTGAGGCCCAAGTCCTTGCAAGTCCATCAGTTTTTTGTTCAGAATTCAGCAAAGAGTGACACTTGTCACAATAAAAGGGCCCCACGTTACGCGTTCTCAGCTAGCCACCACACACCTCAGACTTTCCCTCCTCGTGCCACCTCAACCACTCAGAATCCCCTCTCTCTCCACACGCGTCCCACTACCTCTCCACTCTCTCTCCACGCGGCGCCACGCGTCCTCCATGCAAGCCTCCACTGAGACACTTGTCACCGTCTAACCTTCACCGGAGCCTCACCAGAAAACACACCGCCGGCCATGCATCCTCCCTGAACCACCACACCGCAGGCCACTCTAACCGTCTCCGGCCACCGTCCTTGCCGGAAACTGCAAAAAACCCAGAACTCATACTCGCCGGAAACTTCATACACTTTTTCCAGAACGCATCCATCTTCATCGTTCTTCAAGAAGTTTTCCAGAACATCATCAAACGTTCATCGCTCATCTGGAATTTCCACCATCAACCAACGAACGTCAACAACCTTCGAAGATGATCCTCGTGGTTCATCCTCCCTCATCAAGATACTCAAATATCTTTTGAAGATCTTCCTCAGAATATCCAAGCGACTCAACGGACCTTCAAGATCTATCAGCTTCAGAATCATCGTCTTCATCAGTTCTTGAAGCTTTCTTCCCAGATCTTCATAGAACTCATTGAGTTCTTCCCTGTTTGCCCAGAAATCTTCGAACAAGCGTCAACGTTCCCCTCAGGGCCTCCACAAGCTCCTTCAACAGTCAGGAAGACGTCAAGATCTTCCTCTCTCGCGGCGATTTTCGTTGAGCCTTCAAAGGATCCCAGCACTTCATCGTCTCAGGTTTGTCCTTTCTCATAATCTCCATTGATGTTCATAGTATAGGGTTTCTTGTTTTGAGAAGTAAGGTTTTAGGGTTGATTTGTAGAGTTTGAGCTGAATGAAAGTTGTTTTGGGGTTTTTCTGGGAATGGATTTCAGAGAGGGTGAGGAAGACGAAGGAAACGGCTAGGTTAGAGAGATGAACAGTGATCTGAGTTGGGAGAGGGAGATTAGGTTTTGTTAGGGTTTCGTGGATTAGGGTTAGGGTTTGGGCCAGGCCCAAGTGTTTTTACTGAAACACTCCCCTTGGTACTCATCCCCCCACTTCGTGTGAAGAGATCTGAGGAGAGGTTGGATTGGGCTTAGGCCCTAATGTTATTTGCACCCCCCGTAGGTAAGCCCAATACAAACTAACATGAAAACTTACTAGTCTGCACCCCCCCATGCGTTTTTTTTCTTTCTGTGTTTTATTAGTTGTTGGGCCTGCGCCTTCTGCTAGGCGCACCCCCCTTTTCAGGCCCACCTTAGGATAATAACTGAACAGCATTGCTGTTTGAACCCCTCCTCTTTTATCCCAATTTTGTTTTTTTTTAATTTCTTTTAATCTGTTCTTGCATATTGAAAAAATCATAATAAAATGAAAACGATTGATTTTTGAGTTCTTGTTTTTTCTACTACTTCATGAAAAGGTCTAGAAAATTGTATAAAAATAAAAACGCCATTTTATTTTTGTTTACTATTTTTGGTATATTTTCCATTCAAATGACTCTTTTAATATCTTTTAGGTTATGCATATTATTAGAAAATTCATAAAAAATAGTAGGTTTAATCAAATAATTCCGTTCTTTTTTCTGTAGACTCGTAATTCAATGTAGAATTTTATAGTACAAAAACATTAGCTTAATCTTGCATTTTCATTTTCATTGCATTTTTGCATTGTTATTGATATTGAATACTTGGTTTGTGGATATGTCTGCTTTGTTGATTTTAGTTCTTGCATCTGGTAGTGAATTTTGCTCTGATTTTTTTAGTATGTTGTGCTAGAGCCATGTAGGTTCCCCCTAGATTTTTGATAGATTTTTGTAGGATGTTCTGATATGTTTTAGTCTGAGCTTGAGGATAGGAGAAGTCTTGACGACTTCTGACTTTGAAGTTCAACTATGGTTGAACTTCAGAGATAGTCTCTTGTGGTTTGATGGCCTGTGGGTTCTTCTCAAAGATGGGAGCTGGTTGAAGTCCTGTTGGAGCTTGCAAGGATGCATTGGATTGAAGACCTAGTCTAGAAGCTTGATCCCTGTTTGTGAGGTTCGAGATCCTGAAGTTTGAAGGGAGTTTATGGTACTTTCCTGAGGAAGGCACTATGAATGACTTTCATTCTTTCTTCTCACCTCTTTCTTAAGTATCCAATGATGTTGGAGCCAACTTGTGAGTTTAATTTCTCCTGAGGAGGAATGTAAACTGATCACAGTTGTTGAGCCACGTAGGATACGATTCCTAAGTGTCAGCCTCCTAGTACTTTCCTGAGGAAGGTCCTATGGGTCTGTTCACTTAGTTCCTTTAGTTTATCTAGGATTTCTCAAGTATCCAATGATGTTGGAGCC